CCCTCCCCCACCCCCCAAAAAAAAATTAGATATGTTTCTATTGTGGTTTAGCGTGCTAATTTTTAATAATGATAACAGGTATGTTCTTAGGGAAAAATCTTTATGGCTGAAATGCTTAATATCATTTACTCAAAAAGTTGACATTGTAATTATAATCTAGGAATCTAAGAAGATGCAAAAGCACCATTTCTAAATTTTGAATAGTGTGCCTTCCAGCTAAGAGAGAACCTGACACCAATTCTGTTTACTCGACCTGCCTTTAATAGCAAGGAAAGTTATCCCCAAAGTCCTATTTTGTCTGTATCACAGAAGAAAATTACTGTGAAAATATCACCCTGAAAGCTTAATTGAGTGCTAAGAACCATGTGTTTGTGTATAAAAAAAAACAGAAACAACCACTTGATGACATATTATAGTGTTCTTATATCAAACATTTTTATTATAATAATAGCTGAATAATTGGAATAGCTTCACTATACAAACATCACATGCTGAAGCATGACAATGCAATGTTCACTTTTCAAACATATTTTTGTAATATTTGCATTCATATACACATGAAGTAAGTCACACACATGAATATTATTTGAGTTATAGTTCATGTTAGGAAATGCATTGCTTTCAGGCTAATCTTCAATCCCAGAATCTTTAGCAAATCTCGTAATATTTGATGTTGAAGCATATACTCTAGTTACTGTGCGATCCAAATAGCTAAGGACCAAAAATTGTTATGTTTGAAAGAGGAATATCAGTATTATCTATGATTGTTACATTCTTTATACTAATAAATAGATTTTAAATGACTATGAGTTATGATCTTACCAGTTTTCAACTTAGTGAGTGTATAAAAATAAAGTTATATAGCTCCTTTTAGATAATACAGCCTAGTTAATGCAAAATGTGTTCCCTGTATACTTCTCTTCCTATGTCCCATAAAGCCATTTATGATACTGCAAATAAAATACTGCAGAAAAAGGGGGCAGTAATCTGAAAGGACGCATTAAGTTTTAGTACATCATTTGGGGGTAGTACAAGACTACTATTGAAGCCACATATATTAGCTCATATGAACCCAGACAATCCTTTTTATTCATGGAAATTTCAACCTAGTCTTAGAATTTCAGCAGAAAAACTGAACTTGACCCAGTAATACATTTTATCTAAGTTTTATTGTTGTTGTGACAAAAACAAAATATACAGTGAATACCAGTTTTTAAAAAAACAAAATTCCCTTTTCTTGACTTTGTCCATGCATCAAGTACAACTTCAAAGAAACTTAAAGTTTAAAAGAAAGTAGTATGAGAAACAAAGTTCTGACTATTAATCTATTTCCAATTTTAAAATTTATTCATTATTAACACAAGTCGAAAATATTTAGGTAACTAATTCAGTCCTGAAAAACAATTCAAATTAAAGAGAATAAAAAAAATCATCAGATCACAGAAACATAATCATTTGTACTTAAATATTTTATTATTAAATATCCAGAGCCAAAAATAAGCTTAAAATGGAAATTAACATTATAGAAGAGAAAGGGAAGGTATTTTGTCACTCTTTTAATCTATATTTTATTATTTTTAAATGTACACTAAAGAATAAATTAGTTTTATAGAAAATCAGAAATAATAAAAATTTAAAAGCTATCATTTTTTGGTACTTTTGAAAAGGTCAAGTAATGATTATGTTTAAATTTAATGATAATTTTTTTAATGGAATGGCTTTGACATGCTTTTTTAAAAAGCATTTAAACTATACCAAAGCATCTGAATTTTTGTTTGTTTTTGTTTGGGGGCCACACACCTCAGTCCTCAGGGCTGACTACTAGCTCTGAACTCAGGGATCACTTCTGGCGGGGATCAGGGACCTGTAGGGCACTAGGGATCAAACCCAAGTTTGCTGCACTCAAGGCAAGTGCCCTTCCTACTGTCCTAACTCTCCAGGCCCTAAAATTTTAAGTTAGATATAAAAAAATTCTATAATCACATACTGAATGCAAATTAAAAGACAATTCAAGTTACTTTTTTAGTACATATAAGCCATTGATTATCAGTTAGTTGTATGTGAATATTTGAAGAACATAAAATTGTTTGCTTCAGTTTAATTTTAGGGAGAAGAATTCAAGTTTTATGTATTTATACATCACTGACATATGAAAAATCTGTATAGATCTTTACGTCTTATTAGAATCAGATATGTTTGACTATCTAGAAACAAGTTGGTATTTTCCATATTTCATCCTGTTAAGAATTTATTTTTATACATGCAGTAAAATAAAGTCTGTTGCTAGTAAACAACCATAATATGAATCACAGTAGTTTCTTTAATAGGTTACATAAAGCAAGTAGTGATTTAATGCTGAATTTTTAAAATGAAAATTAATCTCATACTATGTTAATAAATGATTTAAAGTTACTTTGTATACAATCCTGGAAGCCATTTCAATCATACACAAGTCTAGAGAGAATTGCATCTCAGATTTGCAGAATTATTAAATATTTTTTTAAATAATAAAACAAAAATATGCTTTTACTTAAGTAAACCAAAATCTCTATTTAAATCTTCTTGTCAGATTAGTAGGTTTGGGAGTTTTTCAAATGAGTTATTTTCTCTCCTTGAGAAGGGAGTATTAGAACCATATTATCACTTCTATGTTTTAACCCTATAAATTAAAATTGTATAACACGAGGACTATTTTATACCTCTAAAACATTTCTATGAACAGTAGATACATCCATGGATTATTAGTATTTCTTAGTTTCTCATTTAGGAGTAAGCAGTAAGAGTACTCAGAACCTATCAGGTAGTATAAATAAATAATGTACACATGACCTTTTACTCAAAACTTTATCAAATAAAACTAAATCATATAAATTAGAAATATGGACATTAAAATTATAGTTATCAAAAAATCTAGAACTAAGTAGCTAGAGCAATAAAATTTATTCATCAATTAGTTGGTAATTTCATACTTCATTTCTATTTTTTAACATTTTTGTGAGTTATTCCCCTGAGGGTGAAGATTTTTACCCAAATTACATATTTATCTTTTTGGTTTGAAATTGAAATTTTACTTTTGCACAATTAAGAAAATAAATGTCAAAAGTTAAAAATAAGTAACCATTTTTTAATTTAAACCAATGTAAACAAGCATTCAATAAACACATATACCAGATACTCGCAGTTGAAGCATTCATGTTAAAATCATTTAAAGAAAAACAACTAAAATTCTTGCAGATAATTTTTATGGCAATATTCCAATATTCTTATGATTTATTCCAGAGAGTATAAAACATATTTAAGAATTCATAAAATGAGTAGGTAATAAGCACTCCAGGTTGCTCTGTATGTGTCCCTCCTCTTTTTGTACAAAGTTCTTCTTTTGGGATACATTTAGCACAGAAAATAATCTACTGGAACATGAATATTAGATGGTTGTAAAGAATCAGGGAGTTAGCAATAATTTGGGGAGTGTGAATCCACTTTAGCCTAAATGGTCTCAGAATATTACTCAAAAAACAAAATTTATCTAACTTACAAATTTGGGTTGCCATTTATCCAACTTGAAAATTAAACCAATCCAGTTTGACTCTCAGGTCCCCTTCTGCTTTGTAGCCAGTTTTTGATTTACTGGAAAAAAGCTCAGAGGATAGTGAAAGAATATAAAACATTTATGAATTTTTCAAATTAGCATCAAGGAAAAATTATAGAGAGAAGTTTAAGTAAACTTCTGAATGGTGATTGCAATTTCTAAGAATTTCCATTTCAGTGATTGTGCGGATTATGTATTTTATGGAAAACTTTTTGGTAGCCTGCCAGGTTCCAAAAGTGTCCTGCCCACATGGCAGAGTCTAGAAAACTCACCATGGCGTATTCAATATGCCAAAACCCAGTAACAATGATGGTCTCATTCTCCTGACCCTGAAAGAGTCTCGAATGTGTCACTTTTAAAATCTCAAGGCTAAGAGGAAGGAGACATTACTGGGGCCTGCTCGAGACAATCGATGAACAACAGGATGACAGTGATACAGTGATGGAAAACTTAAAACTTACTCATTGTTTTTGAAATGTAAGCAAGACAAGGAAGTAAAGTGTCATGAAACATGCATAATAACTTTGAACAGGAAGAAAACTTCATATTCTATTTTGATTTTTAAAAAATTCAATGGTGTATCAGTAATGACTAATAATGCCAAGTAATAAGAATCTTCTACTGATATAATTTAGCCTGTTTTCTATTATACAATGTGACCTCTATATTGGACAATAATGAAAGTAGGTCACAAGACTGAAAGATTTAAAGTGTGGCTCATTGACCTGTGTAAGACTGAAATGAGTTTGAAATGCCAGCTCTTTTATTTCAGAAGAACAGAAATAACTGTTTATCTATTGAAGATACACAAATTAAATTAAATAGTTTGAGATATTTAAAAAGTCATAGAGAAAGACTTTATTGTTGCTATCATTTTCTATTCTCTTCTGTAACTCCTGAGAAAAATCAAGATTAAAGTTAGTTCATGTTTATTCTTGACACTCTAGATTGTCTTCCATTTTTGATAATAATGTGATTTTAGTTGATATTTCCTGAAATATATATTACCAGAAGAACATTAATTTCCAGGGAAAAATAAAAATGATCAAGAATCAGGTTCAAATCTTTATAGCACTCTATAGTGTGCTATAGTAATGCTAGACCAGTCTTATACTTAATTCTATTATCAAGCAACACCATTTCTAATTTTTTGTATTAAATGGCTATAATATATAATATAATAAATAAATTATTAGATCATTAATGCTCCAAGTCAAAAGATGTGTTTTATAGAAAATAATTTAATACTGTAATGGAATCTTCAAGAACAATTGCTTTATATACTCTGCAGCAAAAATAACATTTCTAGTAGGAATTAATTATAAACCTAGCAAATTCTAATCAACATTTTTGTGAACAATTTTAACATAATTTATTATATTTCAGAAATATATCTTATATCATTTTATGCTAATTATTTCACATATTCTAATAAATATATATCATTATGAGTATTTGTGTGTACTATTTCACACATATCTATGTCATATATACATAAAATAGCACTTAATGGCCACTTTGCATGTTAAAATTAGGGGGATAAATTGATAATATGTATAACCCATATGATCTCTCCATCTGTTATACAAATGGTCATATCAGGATGTAAACAAAACACTGGAGCGAGTCATTCCAGGTGAATTGTATTTAAAATTGTAGGTTGGTGTTCTCATGAAGAACTGTGAACTTCCTGGTAGCAAATACCTAAAAAATAATATTTTAAAGTTAGACTTTTTAAACAAATCAGTATTATATCTTATTAAAATATTATGTGATCATTTGTAGATTCTACATTAGAAATGAAACAATAGAGCCAGAAAGATAGTACAGTCTGGGGGGTGCTTGTCTTACACACTTCTTACCCAGGTTCAGTTCCTGGTACCCATGTGGTCCCCCAGGCACTGCCAAGAGTGGTCCCTGTACACAGAGCCGGGAATAAGCCTCAAGTACACTGGGTGTGTCCCCAAAATCACACACACAAAACAGTGATACTGTGGTTGGACCCAAGATACAGTTCAGCAGGTCAGGCAATTGACTTGCATGCTGCTAATCTGTATTTGATCCTCTGAACCAGATATAGGGCCTGGAGCCAGGAGTAAGCCTTGAGCACTGCTGAGTGTGGCCCCCAAATGAACAAATTTTAGAAAAGAAAAGATATAATAATGATAATGTATTATACATAGAAACCTCCTCTTTCAGATTAAATAGGGAAATAGACAGGGTCACAGGACTTTCAAAGCTGAGTAAGATACGGCATATGATCTTAGTAGCCCCAGTCTTTCCTAGAGGTATTCTCCCCAACTAGGAAACTGTTTCATCTGAACTTGGAATTCATCATGAATCTCTATAGTTAATAAGTGAATCCAGTCAGATACTCTTTTAAACATATGAGAAGAATTTGGCTGGTCTCATTACCAATAATTATGTCAAGAATACTGGAATCAGTTATGATCAATGAATAATCCAAAATAAAAGTTAAAAATTAACATTCTAAACTAAGTTATGCCTGTTATATTCTTTAACCACAGGGTGCTTATTATTTTACATATCATCAAAAATCAATCCTGATTAAATACTGAATATAATGTCCAGAGATATATACAGGTAAGAGTATAATTTTAAGATTTTTGGTGAATAGAATAGTATAGAATGCACACTATACTCATATAACATCTTCATTCATAACAAATCAGATTCCATGTCAATTGACAGAAGATTTGGAATAAATTGATTACTTTTGGTTTTTTTTCAAGCTCTGGTTATTCGAAATTACCATCAGACACGCATTACCTGTATAATCTAATTTCCTCTGGAAAAAACCTTATTAGCTTTAGATTAGTCCAAATTATATGTAAAGAGATAAATTACTAAAAAATTCACATCAATAAATAAAAGTAAATATTACTATTAAAAGTTAAAAGACATACTATAATATCAAGACAAAGATATCTATAAAGAGTTTTAGGAGTAGAACTAAAAACAGTGCATTTGTAATTAGCTTAACAGTAGTCATGAAAAATTAACAATGGTAGAACATCAATTTATTGTTTTTATTTTATGAAAGATTATTCTAATGCTGGCATCATGTTTCCATAGATACATGAAGAAACTGATGACCAAGGGTACTCTTAGCTACACATTATATATTAAATAATACTTGTAACTACTCTATACCTCAATGGTTAATTACATTTATAGTTATATAACATAAATTTCATAGACTATGAATTCATTATTATCAAAATACTGCATTTAGTTTAAAATGGTAATATAATCTATAATATTTCAAAACATATTTTCCTCATGGACAATCTGATTATATATTCTAAATCTCTTGCTTAATATCACAAACTATAATTTCCCAAATCATTAAAAATTAGTAGAGCATTAAAATAATATACAAGCCAAATTAAATCAAAATTGCACGATAGGTGATGAATGATAAAAGAATTAATTTCTTACATTACAAATTTTAAAATTATTTTTTTAATTTAGTTTGGGTAATTTATATAAATTATTATGTCAGGAGACAGTGTACTTATTATGACTGATATCCTCTGACATGTAAAGGCCATCTTTCCTATTTAGAAAAAAGGTGTTAAAATTTAAATTTCATTGTTGATTAAGGCAGAGCCTGGCAAGCTACTCGTGGTGTATTTGATATGCCAAAAACAGTAACAACAAATCTCACAATTTGTTGTGAGATGTTACTGGTGCCCGCTCGAGCAAATCGATGAACAACAGGAGGACAGCGCTACAGTGCAGTTGATTAAAGCCCATAGCTGTTTTATATTAGTTGAGCTTTACTGTATCTTCCATTAAATTGCATTCTGATTGTACTAATAATTACCACAATAAACAGTAGAATGTCTATCAGCTTTCAGTTGAAGCATTCTCTAGAAAAAGTTATTATTGAATAACATTCTTAAGTCCTTTGAGTTAGAGATATCCATTTTACCAGCTAAACAAATAAAAACACAAATATTATGGCTATAGGTAACTTATTCTACTTTATTTAACAATATTAAATATTTAAGTAACAAGTTCTATGTGTCTGGCACTATTTTTATTGCTTATGAATGCATTTAATCTCTGTAATAATTTTATGCAAGATTTGAAGATTCTATTTTACAGAGAATATAATGAACATGCAAGGTGATTTAGATGGCTTGCCACGTAAGTGACTATTTGAATAGCCACTTCAAGTATCTGAAATTGGCTTCACATAGTGCTTCTCACAACTATAGTATGTTGTTCATTTTGTTTTAAGAATTTCAATTTTTATTAAAAATATAATTATACTCATTTTCACAAATATGAGTTCTAAAATAATCTTAAAAGTATAAAATATTCTGAACTTTTTAACAGAAAAATTAATGAAACAAAAAAAGGTAAAAGTCTATCTTTTTAAAAAGGTCATCTTTAAAATGAAACTTTCTAAGACCTAAAAAAAAAAAATTCAGTATGCACTAAAAAATGGTGTGAAATCACATGGAAAGAAACACTTTTCTTTCCTAAAGCAAGTACTGTGAGATATTTTAAAGCATTATAGGAAACCACAAAGGATTATTTGCTTTAACATTTCCATTAATATCTCTTGGGAGATCCCATACTAGCTAAATATCAGAGATACTTTTGAAATGTTCTTTGCAATAAAGTCAAATAATACAATTTGGGATTTTTAGTAGGAAGAATATCTCGAGGAATTAGATTTATAGACTCTATCTAAAGAGCTTGTGTAAAGTACCAGAAATGTGAAAAGTTTTATTTTTATTCTGGTATACTTTTAAGATACAGATATCAAGCTAGCAAACTAGCTAGCTAATTTTACTAATTTGAGCCAAGTAGAAATATCTGAGTAGCCTATTTACATCACACACACATTCACAAATGTTCATACATTATCACTCCTCTCTGAGGCTAGCCAGGTACATATCAATTGCTGAAGACACTTAACATTGTCTAAATCCTACTTAATGTAGATTGGTTGGACTGCCAGGTTCTGACATATTGCTGATCACGAAGATCTCCAGACTGGCAAGAAATGAGCCTAAAATCTTAAATTACACACACCTTCTGAGCTCCCTTTCAAATCAAAAAAGATAAGGACCCCCAAGCCCCCAGAATTAATTCAGCCTCGAGGTTTGGAGAACCAGGGGATTAAAAGTACTGTAATATTGGTCCTGTATTTTAAAAATCATTTTGTTGTGATAAAAAATATAGATGTGACATAAAACTTGCTCGTTTCTCACTTTCAAGTACATAATATTGGCTGGGTAACCTTTATCACAGTCTATCTCCAGAGCTTTGTTATTATCTCCAACAGAAACTCTGCCCCCACTAAACACTTTATCCCCATTTCTTCAGCCCAATACCTGGTAATATCAATTTTACTTCTTATTTCTATGTGTTTATAGATACTTCGGGCTGGAGCAATAGCACAGCGGGTAGGGCATTTGCCTTACAAGCGGTCAACATGGCTGATCCGAGTTCGATTCCTCCGCCCCTCTCGGAGAGCCTGGCAAGCTACCGAGAGTATCTCGCCCGCACTGCAAAGCCTGGCAAGCTCCCCGTGACATATTTCGATATGCCAAACACAGTAACAAGTCTCACAGTGTTACTGGGCCCACTGGAGCAAATCGATGGACAACGGGAGGACCGTGACCGTGATAGATACTTCAGATTACTAGAATTATACTTTATTCTCTTGTGTCTGGCCTATTAAATTATTGTATTTTAAAAGGGGTTTTTTAAATGTTGCAGTATACACCAAAATTCTATTTTATATAATGGATCTAGATAGTATTTTTCTTAATTCATTCACATATATACTATAGTCATCTGCTGATGGACATAGCTTGTTTCTCTTTTTTGGTTACTATAAATAATGTACCTAGGAGCACAAGTGCACAGGTATCTGTGAGACCTTATTTTTCTTTTGGGGAGAAGCTTCTAAAATAAGAAGTAGAATTTCTTAGTCATATCACAATTCTATATTTAATATTTTTAGGAGACAGGGTTTTTTTTTTGTCAAACTGTTTTCCCACAAACCACACCATTTTATGTATCAGCTTTAAATAAGAGGTATGGCTTATTTAATATCTCACCAATACTTCGTATTTTGCAAGTTTTAATAATAGCAATCTAAACATTCACACTGTCTTGTGTTTTTGACTTTGATTCTGGGTAGGGGAGCAGAAGATGGCTAGTTTTGTGTCCTCCTATTGTCACATGTTTACATGAAAGAGTCCCTAAACCTTCAATGATCTCATCAGTGAAAAGTCCAAAAGTTTCTGACATGCTTGGTTCACAGAGCATGCAATCAATGCAACAGAGCACACAGGTGAAACAGTATTATCTAGGAACTGGGGCCCACCACCAAAACCAATCTTCTTTAGAGATTAATTGATCTGTCTTAGCCTAAAATCATAAGGTACCAAGTAGCACTGTCGTCCCATTGTTCATCGATTTATTCGAGTGGGCACCAGTAACGTCACTCCATTGTGAGACTTGTTGTTACTATTTTTGGCATATGAAATACCCCACAGGGAGCTTGCCAGGCTCTGCCATGTGGGTGTGATACTCTTGGTAGCTTGCCCAGCTCTCCCAGAGGAACGGAGGAATCAAACCCGGGTAGGTCTCATGCAAGGCAAACGCCCCTCTGTGCTATGGCTTCAGCCTTAAGGTACCACGTATTTGTCAAT